GAATGTCCCATCGTGGTTTTCTTTATTATAAAGATGAGTTGGAAGTGGGATCTGTTAGCATCTTGGCATGTTAAGTGTTAATTTATGTCTTAAAAATGAATGTCTTTTTCATTGTAGACTATCAAACAAAAAATAATTAGAAATACTTTAACTTTCATGCCTATATTGTATTATTGAATTTTATTATTTGGTAATTATGAGTCTTTGACAAAGTTGAGTAAGCACTCTGCTGTATTTTTCCCTCATCTTTAAGTAAGGTCACTAAAATCTGTTAGCTAACTCCTGCACTTAATCCATTTGGTTTGCTATGAGGGTAATAGTTAAAGATAAGTTAGATCCTTTCTCATTAATACAATTCTCAGTGGTAAGGGTGGTAAATCTTTTCATTTTATATTCAGAGAATCTTAGAGATTCATAGATTCTCTAGAGATAATCTTGTATAACCCCATTTTACAGACATAGAGTCTGAGACCTAGAGATTCAAAATGACTTGCCAGCAGTCCACTACCTGTTTTTGCATCCAAGTTAGGATTTTAAGGCAGTATAATTTCTGCTGTATCATGGATTTTCTTTTATCTGATTACCTTTTCCCAAGTCATACAAATAAACTCGTAGGATTTCTGAAAAAAGCTACCTTTCCAGCCAAAAGTCAGCCACAGCTTTTAACTTTAAAAGAGAGGAGGCATAATTAAATTTCTAGTAACATACCGTGTAGTCACTATATCGTCAGCCTAATTTCGGAGAGAATTGTTGCACGTAGGTATTGATTGCCAGAGCTCTAGAAGGTACACTTATGATTGGTCTATTTCACTACCAAAATGGACTTCAGTTCTACTACCGGTATAGAGAGAAAACCTATTTAAGCTCCTTCTCTCTCTTTTCTTTTTTGTTTGTTTTATTTTGCTGTCTTATAGCAGTCCCTTATTTTACTTCAGTCTTTAGCCCTTCTTTTATGAAAATGACCTACTTAAAAAAAAGATAGTGCCCTTGAAATATGTTGGAATAAACTTTTTCTTTGAAAGAATAGGAAAATAACTTTTTGTTTTGATCAGCTTGAAATTATCTGTATCTTCTAGTGATAAATGTCTTTAGCAGAAGTACTTTGATAGCATAAAATTTAAAAATTAATACCGGTACTAAACTATTAATCATTTTAGCTAATTTTATTTCAGGAGGATAAGGATATTCTGACCAGATTACTAGCAATGTAATAAGATCTACAATTGCCATTTCTGTGACAGTAAGTTTAGCTTCTGTAAAATACAAAGAACCTTATTTAAACAGGTAATGGCATACCATCTGTTGAATGGATAATTTCCTTATTGTTTCTTACCAGAAATATGATGGGCATCTTCCAATAGAAGTAAAAGCTGTTCCTGAGGGCTCTGTCATTCCCAGAGGAAATGTTCTCTTCACAGTGGAAAATACAGATCCAGAGTGTTACTGGCTTACAAATTGGATTGAGGTGAATTGCTTTCTTTTGCTTTTACTTCTTATTTAACACTAATTGTAGATGTAAAAACCATTCAACTAGGATTTTATTTTTAAAAATTAATACTAATAATCTACAATTCATGAAACCTTTCCAGGCCTCAATTTCCTCACCTATAAAATGACAGTTGGACTACATAATCTTTAAGTTTTCTTTCAGTAAAATCTAATCTTCTGAGATTTTTAAATCAAATTATTAAGAATTATTACTGCAAAAGCTCAGTTGGCCTCCATCTTACTTGTTGCAATCCTAAATACTGTCATAGAGAAACATTATAAAACAGCACAGGTACATTTTTAATAACTTTAAAACATTTTATGGATATTCTATTCCATTTAGACTAAAGGAAGTTTGTTCAAGTTTTTAATAACTATTTTCTTCATTCTTATCTAATCAGTTTATGGCCTAGACTCTACCACCTGGTATTTCTCATCTTAATACATTCAGGATTGATTCATTGATCATTTTGTTTAATGTCTAAGCCTAAAAGGAAGGTACCTTATAGCTCTGAGTTTATATTGCAAGGCTTTTGTTTGTTTTCCTTGTATCTATACTTAACCAGTCATGTTTTCACATCCTCATAGTTTTGATATTAATAGTTTATTTAGCTTATTAACAGTTTAATTAGATTTTTATCCTTAAGGAGAAATATTCTAGTAAATGGCTATAGAAATGTCACCCCCATCTGACAGGTGTCTACTCTGTGATTAGTACTCTTTATCTTATTAGTCTGTTGGTTAAACTAATTTGTTGTTGTTATAATAATACATTAGAGGTTCATTTATAAAGACTGGAAAATGTTTAGAAAAAGTAAGAGGTCAAGAAAATGAAATACATTTTTGCTAAGTCTATTGGAAATTTAAAACTTTCTTTTTAGACTTTTGATGAGCCATCAGCTAATAGCCTAACAGGCTCTGAAGAAAATGTAGTTACCTAAAATAAAGATTGTAAATAGTTTATTGCTATGTCTTAAAACTTTGCATTAACTGTGAACTCAAAGTAAAAGAAAACATATTATTAACAATCATCATAGCATTTTACTGGCAAATATTTTATTTTGAGAGGATGATATTATGAAAAGAGTAGAAGAGTTCTTAACCACATCATCTAATGTATCCTTTACCTCCAGGGCCAAAAGATCACAAACAGATAAATCTTAATTTTGAAAATCATCATCTATAAATAACCTTATGTTACATTTTTTTCTCTTTAATTTTCTGTTTGAGGAATTTGGCCATTAAGTACTCTTTCCTTGTGTTGAATTGAACTTTCATAAAAAAGATATTTGTGGACATAGAGAACTAGTTCCAGATCCACCTTGCTTTTTATGTATGTTTTTATCTTCAGAAAGTAAAAAACACTAGCTGTAAAAAAATTTCTTTTAAGTATCTATTTTAATAATCATTATTTTGGTGTATTTCACTAAAAAAATTAAAGTAAAAAAATTTATACATGGACATCTTAGCAGTTATCAAATTTTTTAATTTAAAAATTATTAAGCATAAAAATCCAATATGAGACAGATTTTAAAGAAAAAGTACATAGTTCCTTATTTTTCATTTGCTTATTAAAATTGCCTTCTGTTATAATATGTATTATTATAAATAATTTCAGTCCTGGGTAGGAATTTTTATGTAAGGCATAAAAACGTATGTTCTGAAACAACTCCTTTCAGATAGATCTTGTATAAAAAATTGTGTTTACTTTAACTACCAGGTCTGCAGAAGACACTTCTCGTAGTCACTTTGCCTCTTTGGTGGGCTTGTGTGGGGTTAGAGGAGGTTCATATTACACATATCCATCTCCAACTCAGATTTACCACTTTGTAACTAGGATCTGTTACCAAACACACCAAGCTTGTTTTTTAAAATATTGAAGATTTTCTTCAGGAAATCTTTGATTTAAAATTTTTTAAATAATAGTACTAAATAGTATTCCTTCCAATTCCTTCTCTCACTGTATGTTTAGAGTTGTTAGTTACATTCTTTGTTATTCACCATGCACGAATTTTAAAATCCACTAAAATTACTGAATTACTTTATCAGTTTCAATACAGATGCTAGAAGAAGCCTTAATCCCAGGTTTCAGAACTTGCGTAAGCGGGCCTAAGGGTTTTGCAGAGGTGTCCGACTTAGTAGAGGCTGAGGAGTGAGCATACTGGGCTAAACTTAACCATCTCTTCCTACCAAAAAAATGAAACAATTTTTTTTGCTGTTGAAAAGAAAAGATGACTTTAAAAACTATTACATTGATCAAATACCCTCATTTCACAGATGAGGAAATTGAGCCTTGACAGGTGAATGGACTAGTTAACAGACTAGGTCCAGTCCCCTTTCTACTATACCACACCATTTCTTAATCTTTAAATTCCTTATCCTTCATAGTAACATTATAATGAATACTTCTTAAATGAATTTTGCAGGTTGATTTACTCTAGTCTTAGTTTTCTGCTAAAAATTTTATCTTGCTTTATGTGGGCAAATTGCTGTTTTGGAAGTTTCCAACAAGGCCTACTTTATTAGACCTTGGATTAACCCAAACTAACTTGCCTTTTTTTCCCTTGCTTACACCTACAGTGATCTTTTTTAAAGGGGAGTGATTTTATTAAGAGTATAATTTAAGCTGATTTTGTTGGACTATGGAAAGGAAATGGTGATGTGAAGGATCACTGTGTCTCATAGTTATTTCTCTCCTTCCCTGGCATTTTTCGAGGGGTAAGGTCAATCTTCTACCTTTATAACTCAACTAGAGTTTTTCGCATTGTTCTCTATCTTTCTCATACTCCTAGATAATATCACTCTAAGTTAAACAAAAAATGTGAGAGTTGATCAAATTAAATTCAACAAATGAATATCATTTGAGTACTGGCTATGTACAAAAAAATACTGGGCCCAGAAATTAGAGTAAGATGTGTCTTATTATTTAAGGGCCTTTCGAAGAGGAGCAGTTGATTCTTAACTAACCAATAATATAAGTAAGAATGCTGAATCGGTAGCAAATTTTTTTTTTTTAGGTAATTCTGTCTAAGAAATCATGAAATGAAAACTAAATAAGCTTTTTAATAAGGGACAGGAAGAGCTGAGGTATTCTTAGAATGGCAAGTAGCCCAAGGGGGACTGCAGCATAAAAATGGAAAATACCGTAGGGGAGAGACCCTTAGATGGTAAACAAGGCAACAAGGCAAGATTATAGGAGGCCTCAAATATCAACATGAACTGGCCGCCTTCCCCTGTGGACAACAGATAGCCATTAAAGGATTTTAAGGAATGAGGCAACCCGAATAAAACTTGCTTTAGAATGATAACTGGTGGCAGTGTGAAGACTAAGTCAGAACAGCCAAAAACTAGAAGCAGGGTAATCACAGGCACTGGCAATGGAATCACCGGAATTTAGAAAAGAATCATTTTAGAAGCAGAACGGTTAGAGGTCGTAGAGTTCAAGTGAGGAGTTGTATCAGTTTTCTCTTGTTGTATAACAAACCACCCCAAAGGAAAACAGCAGTTACTTCTCATGATTCTGTGGTCGCCTGGATGGTGCTCCACTTGGTCTTGCGTGGACTTACTGAGTCTGGGTTAGCTAGGATCAAACAGTCTAAAAGGGCCTCACTCCGATGTCTGGGCCTCAGCTTGGGCAACTGGAACTGCTGGACCTCTTTTCGTGTCTTAGGCTTCTTCACAACACAGCAGTCTCAAGGTTCTAGAAAAAAGAGAGTAGAAGCTGCAAAACCTCTTAAAACAGAAGCTTGTAAGTCATAAATATGGCTTCCGCCACATTCTGTTGGTCAATAGCAAATCATAAGCACAGCTCAGAATCAAAGGATGAAGAGAGAGATTCCATCTCTTGATGGGAGGAGCTGCAGAGAATTTGGAGCCATAGTTAATCAATCACAGGAGTGTAATGCTGCAGTTTTTTTCTTTTTAGGTAATTGGGCTGGGAAGTCCAAGGTTAAATAATCTTTTTGTTTTTACTTATTTATTGATCACTTAGCTGGTATTCAGTAAAAGCTTGTTTTGTAAAATTGAGAAAGTAAATAGTTCTTTGAGTGAGCTCAGACATTATCATCTTAGCAGCTCTTTCTAAAATTTGAAGCTGCTTGTAATAGCAGGCTTTCTGCTTTACAAAATAAAAATAGAAAATTGTGATTCTACAATGGAGGAGTGAATTCCTAAGCCATAATAATTAATGTAGTTGCTCTTAATAATTAATTAGCTGCTCTGATTAAGCATCAAACTTTTTGGAGTTACCTGGCAGCCAGGGAAAAAGGAACCAAGGGACAGTCTTATCAGAAGGTAGGAACCTAGCAATTCTTTCATTTCCTCTTTTGGGAACTTATGTAATAGGAACTGAGTTACAAAATAGATAGTGACCTCATAATTTTCCAGCATATACAGAAATGTTTCATGTGGCTTTTTTATGATGACTTTTGGTAAAAGCCAAGAACATAAAGCATAACTCAATGAATAGAGCTGCCTTAGTGATAAGCAAAAGCATCTCAAGTGTATAACTTACCAGTAGTCATACTAGATCCAAGGGACAGTTAGATCCAGAACTACCTAGAGCTAACTTCTTTAGACGTATACCATTCAAGGTGTGGTCCATGGACCAGTGTTGGTCCATGAACTTTTGATGCAGGTCCACATTAAATAGAGAAAATCAAGCATAAGCATTTAGAAACTTTTATGATAATTGCCTCAGCATCCAAGAGTGAGTATAAAACTGTTGGTCCATGATAGATTGAAAATGAAAAATACACTGGTTCTTCATCACAAATAATCTTTCTAAGCATTATTTGCTTCTTTGGAGCTTTGGATAGAAAATAAATGATTTGACTTTGACATCCTCTGCTATTAAGGGCTGGGCGTGCTTATCTTGTGTGTTGCAGATGTGAGAGCTGAGCTCTGCACTGTATCTGGAATGCATGTGGTAGGCATCCTGCTGTACAGTTGAAATGTCCAGTTGGTATTTCTAGTAGTATGGAAGTCCAGGACATACCTCCAGAGAAGGCTAGGATTTTCCTCAGAAAGAACCCAATTTTTTATGTATTAATATTTGTGGTTAATTTTATTACTACAGACTATTCTTGTTCAGTCCTGGTATCCAATCACAGTGGCCACAAATTCTAGAGAGCAGAAGAAAATATTGGCCAAATATTTGCTAGAAACGGCTGGTAACTTAGATGGTCTGGAATACAAGTTACATGATTTTGGCTACAGAGGAGTCTCTTCCCAAGAGGTAAGAAACTGAAATGAACCTCAATTAATAAAATGTGGATTGTCAGGTAGATTACTACTATAAACTTTTTGGGAAGTAATTGGGATTTATCTTGGTTCTAAGAAGGCCGCATTTTGAAATTTCAGAGATTCAAAGATGTATATTACGTACCTAACATGTGTCAGCTGTTCCAAATACATGAAATACAGCCTTCAGTAAATGTCCCTGTTCTTTAAATATTTGCTGGGTGGATGGACAGATGGATAGACCGACAAAATAAATATAGCAGATGGCAGGTAATGCACAAGGCAGGGTAAGGGGAAAAAGGGTGATGTAATGCTGGGGTGGATCACTATTAAATAGATCTCTTTGAAGAGTAACAGTTAAATCCTTAAATATTTAGGAAAAACTGGATCTTTGCCATAAGAATCTGTTATCTCTGATAATAGTTAAATAACTTTAAGGGTAGCTGAAGACAGTAGTCCTTTGGGAACTGTGCTCTATACCTCAAGTATGGGTCTGTCTTTTTCTTTTTTGGATTTTGGTTTATGGTTTATTTTCCAGACTGCTGGCATAGGAGCGTCTGCTCATTTGGTTAACTTCAAAGGAACAGATACAGTAGCAGGAATTGCTTTAATTAAAAAATACTATGGAACAAAAGATCCTGTTCCAGGCTATTCTGTTCCAGCAGCAGAACACAGGTAAAATTCTGTTTTTATCCTCCCATTATCCAACATTTGTTTCCTAGAACTAAGTTTTTTCATTCTTATATTTGCAATTCAGTGATGTTCTGTTTAACTACAGAGCCAGATACCACAGTAAATCTTCATGAATTTAAGCAATACAAGTTCAGTGTTTATACTCTGTATAAAGCTTGGTATCAGGGAGGTAGAGAACTTTTACTCATCTTAATAGAAACAACTTAAGAGCTTTTCTTCAAGTCTTACATTGCTCTGTGGGTTTTATTTTAAGGATTTTTTTCCAGCTGCTCTATTGCCATATGCAGATAAGTTATATTCATTAAGTCTAGAAGCACTCACTGTAAAACTGGTCACCGTTGTCCCTTTCCCTGCTCTTCTACAAGACTTCACTTTCTTTGCCCTGGAACTTACCTTGTGACCCCAGTACTTTCAACTGTAGATGAGCAAGTTAAGCCCTTCTGATGAAAGGAAGGGTGTTCAGATTCCTTTTGTGCTCCCTTATCTGATGGTACTAAACCATCTTGAGTTAAACTAGAAGACTCTTACTGTCTAGGCTGCAGCTGCTCTGTCTGAGAGTTAATTTTATTGAATGTTAGTGGAGTTTTTAAAATGTGCCAAACCTTATTTCTGGATCTTATAATGAAAATTATTTACTGCAATCAGTTTGGAGAGGTTTCTTAAATTCTGCTCATATTTGAATATTGCAGGGTGCTAAAACCAGCAGTGAGTTTAGCATAAAGCTGAGCTTTGATCTCAGGCAATCTACTGGGTACTACAAGGGATAAAAAGATATATATATGTATATGTGTGTGTGTGTGTGTGTAATTAATCCTATCTTCTGGATAAAAATAGTCCACTAGCAACATTCTGCTCTGTTAAGTATTTTTAAAGAGGCACAATTAAAGTGCTTTAGGGGGTTCAGGGGAAGGAGAGGTGGGTCATACTCTACTGGTAGGATCAAGAAAGGTTTTATAGAGATGTTACCTAAATCTTGACTTCTTGAAGGAATGGTATAATTTAATGGCAGACATTGGGGGATTATTAATTCTCTTGAGTAGATATTTATTGCATCCCTACCACATTTCAAGCATTGTCCTGAAAGAGCAAGAGTGAAAGAGGAGAGTGTGGATGTGTTTAGGAATAAGGGCTGAAAGGTATGTTGTAGGGAACGTAGGCTAGTCTGTGAAGACAAAGTAAAGGCCCTCAGATTTATTTTGACGTTGAATATTAACTGTGTGCCCATCATGCTAGGTTATTCTAATTCCATTTTCAAATAGGAGTGGGCATTGAAGTTTTTGAACAAAGAAGCTATGTCAGAAATACTGTAGAAAGGTTATTTTGATAGTGAGCCATCTTATGAATTGAAAAATAGAGAAATGAGAGAAGTTTGGAGGCTGTAAGCTATTGCAGTAATTTTGAGAGATGACAAGGTTCGGAACCAAGTGGCTGAATGAGTGGAAGGAAGTGGGTAAACATGAGCAGTAGCTTGGGAGATGAAATAGCTTGTACTTGATGTTTCAAATTGGGGCTCAGTAGAGAGTAGATTCAACTAACATTTATTAGTGGTGCTTCATTAATAGGGCCGTGTTGAATACTTCTACAAAAAAGTTTCAAGACTAGTGAAACTGGGAAAATAAGTGTCGCTAACAGATCAAAATTTTTGCATTACAGTATTTTTATTTTGGACTTAGATGTATTTACATCTTTTAAAAATTACTGTAGTATTCATATATTAGATTCTTCATTGATGGTTTTGTTTCAAAGTAATAACACGAGTATGATACTATAAATCTGAGAACAAGGATAATATCTTTAGGACTTTCATGATAAAACACATTGAAAGTCTGTTTTATTTTTATAGTCTTGTAATATTTACTGCTTTTGCAATTTGACTCCATTAATATATCAGATGTTCTTAAGTAGACGACTCTTTTAAACAATAACATAGTATAAAGAGCTCTAGACTGAAAGTTGGGAAATCTAAGTGACCTTACAGCCGACATACTGGGTGGCCTTGGGCAAGTCATTTATCTCTCTGCTCTCCAGTTCTGCTCTTCAACCCAGCAAAAGGAGGAGCTAAAATTTCACATCTTTAATATCAGAAGGTCATTGAGTAAAAATGAGCTCACAGCTAAAATAGCTTTAAAATAAGAAAACTCTAAAATTTAGAACACTGCCATTATTGTCATATTTTCTTAATGTATGAGTTTGGACTTAGAAATATTCAGTTGCGTAACTTTTTCCCTCCGACTTTGGAAAGGATATCAAATTTAATATGATGCTGGAAATTTAAATAATAGCTTAAGTAGAATTCATTGAACAAATATTTATGGTCTCTGTATATCAAGTACTGCACTAGAAGCATAGGTGTTAGGACTGGATTGTGTGGAGGGGGCTACGATCTGGAGTCCAGGAAAAAACCTGGGTATTTTTTAAAAACTTTGAGTGTTTTTCACATAGACGTACAGAGAGAGACAAGTGCGCAGGTCAGATTGAAGAAGGCAGGCCCAGCATCGAGGGGAGCCTGAAGAGAAGCCATAGAGGTAGGGGGAAAAGTCAGGGTGTGGGAGATGTCACTGACGTTATGGGAAAGGAAGCTTCAGAGAAGTTCAGATGCCATAGAGAAAGCAAGCAAGAGAAAGACTAAAAACGAACAATCATATTTGCTAGACATGATACAAATAGCAGAGTTAGGTGACTGTACTGATACAATGCTAGTGAAAAATAGCTGCATAAACAATGACCTTTAAGAGTTTGCTTACATTGCACAGCTCTCCCGTGTCGGTACTCTTTGAGCGTAATTCTCTCCCTTATAAAGAGGACGGTAGCAGTTCTTGGGATGAAGGTGCTTCTCTTTGTCCACGTCTTAATTTTTCCTTTCACCTGCAGAGGTTTGCATGAAGTGAAGCATTGGCATCATAGCTACCAGCAGCCCCTGCAGTTGTTAGAAAGGATATTCAGTGTAAATAAGTATTTATATAAATATGCTACCTCTCCATTTCAGACAGGAGTAGTCTGGGTAGCTAAGTCTTTATGTCTCTGAAGTGTACATGCTCTGCTAGCCCAGCATACCATTGACAGCATGACCAAGTTGTTTACTCCATTCTCTTAGAAAAAAAATAAGAATAAAACAACTGTTAATTAGAACGACTCTTCAGACAGTTATGAGATGAACTTATATCTGCATGGGGTTACATAATAAATAAATGGGTTTCACTTTCCATTATTTTACTTGGGAAAACAGGGTAGAGGCGAAGACTAGCAAATTAGAAAGAAAAATTGCTTGGCACAAGAAAATGGTAACAATTCTTAAGTTCGTTCTTAAATTCTATTTAAGAATTTTTAAAATTCTTTATATTAGTTAACCAGCAAGTACTTAGGTTACATATTATTACATTACATATCTCACACTTGATTTCCCATCTTAATTATGAGTTGCTCAAACTAAATATTACAGTTCTTGATCCCTGGGTATGTATTAATTAATAGTGGATGATCTATAAGTGAAACAAATGACTACCTGTTACCGGCCAGTGGAAGATACAACAGGTAAAGAGTTAGTTGACTATACGTATGCATGTGATAGTATAAATAATTGCCTCTACCTGTAAGATTCTGAAAGATAAAAAAGACACAGTGTATGTTCCTGCTGTTATTGGTACATGCTTTTGAAAATTCACAGAAGGGAGCCAAGTGCTTGCAGTGCCCTGCAAAATAGTGGGAGTACGTGTTTACTCTGACGTCTCGCATAGTGTACAGAGTGTGCTCAGAAGGTGCTTTTCATCTCACTCGTTTTGAGTGAGTGGACTCAGGAATACCAGACATAATAACGTAGCTTATAATTGGTTGAATGTGACTTAAGAGAAAATAACTATTGGAGAGGGATGAGATTACTTAGTCTTAAAAATGGGCCAAGGAGCGGTTTGGCTCAAATATTTAATTAACCTTTTGATGGCCATTAAACTTGTGCAGTGTTGACGGTGTAGTATAGTGAACATGGATATGATTCAGGAATAGATAATGTGTCTGCCTGAGTAAATCTGTATTTTCGTTTTGTTTTCTAGTACCATAACAGCTTGGGGGAAGGACCATGAAAAAGATGCTTTTGAACATATAGTAACACAGTTTTCATCAGTGCCTGTATCTGTGGTCAGCGATAGCTATGACATTTATAATGCGTGTGAGAAAATATGGGGTGAAGATCTAAGACATTTAATAGTATCAAGAAGTACAGAGGCACCACTAATAATCAGACCTGATTCTGGAAATCCTCTTGACACTGTATTAAAGGTAAATTTTAATATGTAACTTGATTATTAAAATGCCTATAGACCAGCTGCATCAGTACCATTTTAAATTACTATGTACACACTCCATTTCAGAGCTACCTGGACCAGTCCCCTTGTTTTAGAGTTGCAGCCCAGAGAGAGTAATAGATTTGCCCAAGGTCACACATTAATAACAGAAAGGACACCGCAAGTCAGGGGTTATGTATATACTGTCAAGTGGACAGTTGAGAACTGTGGAATAGGATGCTTTCCTTTCTACTTACTTTCGAAATTATTTAGTAGCATTACTATTTTAACCAATCCTGTGATTTGGTACCACGTCTGTGGTTTGTTTCTTTTCCTTTATCACAAGTCATTGCTGTACCTTTGAATTTTTTAGTGCAAAAGAAATAAGTGCAAGGTAATGGGGAATAAAAATAATTTGAAGATATTTTTCAAGTAGTGATTCTTTAGAGATACTATTGATTCTCAGTGTAGCCTTGTTGCATTTTTTTTAGTGTTTAGGATTTGGTTTGCTTTCTTAGAAAATTACTAATCCGAGCAAGTTATTTGGTGCTTATTACTAGAAAAATATTGTGCTCTGTGCTGTGCTTTAGCAGCTGTTATTTAATCTCTATGAAAACCTTATGATGTATAGATAAGAAGCCAGCTTAGAGAGGTTAAAGGAAACTTGCTCAAGGTCACACAGCACATAACATAAGCCGGTGTCCAGTGTAGATCTTTCTGGATATCACCTTCCCTCTTTACCACACTGTTTCCCAGCTGATGACTGGATGATGAGTTACCCATTAAGGGGGATGTAGAACCAAGAAGGTCTTTTTCTGTCCTATTAAGCAATAGGCCAATCTGAAGGCCTTATCTTCGTCTGAAATATCAACAGATTTGGTTTTAGCAAACTTAGTAAGTTTCGTATTTTTCATGTTACCTAATTTAAAAAGTATACAAACCTAGCTTTAAGAATAAACTGAGTCATCAATATGGAATTTTCTCGTTGTTATAAGAAAAGAGAGTGAGTGCTGGGTGGGGAATATGTCTGGTAGATCTTTTGAATCTCTGACCAACCTGAGAAATTTTGAATTAATGTTTAGATATTTCCACTGCTACAAAACTTTTTAGTAGTTAATGAACGAGTGGGACAACTTGCATATTAAGCAATTTGGCTTAAAAAAATGGGTGTCATCTTTAAGTGAGAAGAACCTCAGGGATCAGAGAAACTATGGGCTCTATATGCTTCATTTCCAGCTTCGTCTGCATATCATAATTTCTCTGAACTTTGTAATTCAAGTGGACTCATATTTAAGTTATACCAGACAAGTTAAGCCAAACAAAACTGTTATGCGTGAGCAGAAGAAAATCAAAAGCATAATCATGAATTTGTTACATGATGTTTTATATACATTAAAAATACTATATTTACCTTTGTAAGCTCCTAATGTTAAAGGTTTTGTCCTGAATCGAATTTGAAAGATGTGAGGGAACATAAACTTGTGTTTTGAGCCACTTTATATTATAAATTGACTTGACAGAAAATTATGTGCCTGTTTCTAACAGAATCAAAAGCAATTGAGACTAAATTTTAGAAGGCTTATACGTGGTATTCTAAAATTTAAGTAATTTGATTAACTTTGGAAAACTTTTTACACTTCTTTTCAGTTTTATTTTGTCTTGGGTGTGTATTTTTCCATACAGGTTTTGGATATTTTAGGTAAGAAGTTCCCGGTTACTGAGAACTCAAAGGGCTACAAGTTGCTGCCACCTTATCTTAGAGTTATTCAGGGGGATGGAGTAGATATTAATACCTTACAAGAGGTATGTGTTTTATATTTAAAGTTCTAATAAGGCAATCCTTGTAATTAAGCTCCTTCTTACAACATTAATAATTTAAGTACAGTTGTGATTCTTTTCATAAGTGTTTAAGATGGTATGTGTCTTTTCTGTTAATTGCTTAAAATTTATAAATATTAGCAACTTAAAATATAGAAGTACCACCTAAACCACACTTACTGCTCCCAGTCCTCATGGGCCACTCTGGGTGATGAACCCAAAGAAGCATCACTGTGAAACAAGAAATGCCAGTCAAGGAATATTCTTTGTGTATAAAACAAAGTCTTGACACTGCACAAATAGGTCTCAATTTTAACAGAATGGAGCTTGCACATACTCTAAGAATATGAAGCTCAAATGGTATTAATCTTTGCTTTATCAAAAAATTAGAGAATGGTTTTGTTACCTGTTTTAAATTAAGCATTGATTCATCACTCTTACTATTAGAAATAGCATGTTTGATATTATCTTAAAGTTTTTGCCTCTTCATTTCCCATATAAGCTTCTAATGAGCTACAATTTTAATACCTAAAATCATAAAAATTAAAGCCATCACCAGTATCATGATGTAGACTGTCTAGTATTTATAAATTACTGATATTTTAATGTGTACTAGTTTCAGATGGTATCCACTTGTAACCTAGTTACCAAAATAATTTTCTATTTGAAAGAGTTTGGTGTGGTTAGAGTAAGGTCTGTACTCAAATTACTAATTTGTTTTCTGAAGATTTACTTAAGAAGAACTACTGCATATAACTAACAGTACTTCTGTGGTGATAATGCAGTTAGAGTTCCAAAATCAGCTGTCTAGAATAGACCTCTTGCAATAACAGAAATGATGTTTCTTCCCCCTACTCTCCCAAACTGCCTTGCCTAAGAAAAGTGGAAGCTTTCCCAGCTCTTCGAAGATACTTGGTGTTGGGACATTAGGTGCTTTGATGTGAAAAGGAAGAAATAGAAGGAAAGTCTGCAGTGAGGAGGATCTAGGCATAGGAATCTCAGCTGGCATATTTAATTGCTGTTGTCTTTTAGCTCAGCTGCGTTGAAGGTTTGACCTGGTATCAATTAAGAACTAGTACCCATACGTCCATTTTAGCAGGTACCCTCACACACCCCTTTCAGATGAAGAAACATGGGTGGGCACAGTGCCGATTTCAGGATGCACATTAGCCCAGTGCTCTTTCCCTTGCTTGTACCTGCCCTTCCTTGGTCCCGTGGGCAGCTCTAAGTTGGGTTGTTCAATCAGGTATTTGAACTTCCCTTTAAAAACTGAAGCTATTTGGCTTTCCTTTTTCTTTTAGTTTTTTTTTTAAATAAACTTTGAGAACGTGTGCATTTTCAAAGTTGAGAATCAGTTCAAAACAAATCTGTTTTTTAACGCCATGAACAAGTTCAGTGGTGAGACAGTCTCTGGCATTGATGAAACTTTAAACAGAATTGTAAGAGAATGAAATAGTAATAGGCATTATTCTTACCTCATTATTTACTATGTTCTAAAACAGCTTTGGATGGTTTACTCATCATATGGCCCATGGAAAGTTACCTCCTTCCTCTTGCAAATTACTTAGTTTATTTTCTTTTTATTTTTAATCTAGATTGTAGAAGGCATGAAGCAAAAAAAGTGGAGTATTGAAAATGTTTCCTTCGGTTCTGGTGGAGCTTTGCTGCAGAAGTTAACGAGAGATCTCTTGAACTGTTCATTTAAATGTAGTTATGTTGTAACCAATGGCCTTGGGGTAGGTGCTTCAGCTTTTACTCCTGTGTTGTTACTACCTTCTTTATGTATCTAGGTGGAGTGAAGTTACTGAAAGTAATAGTCAAAGGATAATATGGTCCTGAACGGTTCCTCTGTTGTCAGGTACCAGAGACCCTGACTCAGAAACAAGGAAAGAAAAGACAGTAGGTGACAAATAACTTGACTTTGGAGAAAAAGGGAGACTTGGGAAAAGGAGGAAAAATAAGATGAGGGATTATTTAAGACACAATGCAAGTCAGTTCATTTCTCACTACTTCAGTACATACTCTTGAATCAAAAAGTTGACCATATTTGAGCAGGAATGTCAGCTAACCTAGCCAACATGTTTGAAAGTAAGCAAGTATATAAACACTGTCAAACATGTTTTAGGAAGGTGGACTATGAGGTTGAAGTTGTGACACTAGAATCATGTTCTGGTAACCTTAAAGCAGGGGACCCTAAGCTGGTAGGCAGCTGACTGACAATCCCCCTGGCTCTTCATAGGCTCGTGAGAGTCTGTATCGAAGGGTGGGCGTAGGGGATCCTGGGAACACCTGCGCTGCTTCCCTCCCTTACTTCACCTCCATCTTTCTTGGATGAGCTCTGGTACTGACGCATCTGCTTTTCTATTACCGTCATCACTGTTTGCCTCCTTCCTTTCTGATCCTGAAACATTCTGCTCTCTTCAGGTTTTCTGGGTCTTTTTTGCTTATGGCAGTAGCAAGATAATAGAGTAAAAAGTCACAAAATGGAAAAGTTATGAAGTAGGAAAGCCTTTACCTTAGTAAATCCTAGGTCCCTTGCCACAGATTATATATCAGAGTTGACAGAGATTTATTTTTCAATAACAGACATGTGCTCTACCTAGATATGTTTAAAGGCAATGGCCTTTAAACTAAACAAGAAAAAGAGATACCTTACCAGTTGAGTGAACAGTTCTGACAGTCTTCTGTTTCTCTAACTCTCTTAATTTGGATTCCAGGTTAATGTCTTCAAGGACCCAGTTGCTGATCCCAACAAAAGGTCCAAAAAGGGTCGATTATCTTTACATAGGACACCAGCAGGGAATTTTGTTACACTCGAGGAAGGAAAAGGAGACCTTGAGGAATATGGTCAGGTATGTATATCTATGCTGGCTGTTTTTTGTTGTTGTTTGTAAGTTTGGTTTTTTAAACAGCAGTAGGCTGGCTCTTCAAATTAAGGAAGGAGGCTTTATGGGGTATTATATTCTTCAACTATTTTCAGAAAAAAATTTTTCTTGGAGGACAAAGTTTTATTGTACAATGTTTATAATTGCTGACCCTTACCTACCAAAATAAGATGAAAAACAAGAAGTGGCTTGATAATAAATGGGAGATCTGTACATGGGGTGAATATTTTGCAACATTCCAAATAAAGAAAAATGTTTCCCATTTAGTGACCAGCAGGGTGGTGACCAATGAGCAACAAGCTCGTGTATTTTTGATCTTACTCCTATTAGCAATGGTACGTTTCTGACCAGGAATAGTTAAGAATACTTAAAGGATGCTATTCTTAGGCTTCTTAGAGCTATTTATAGTAAAACTTTGGTGATTTTCACAGATAAAAGAAGGGCTATCTAAATTCTAAAATATTGTTAATTCCATTTTTCAAAACTTAATAGAATCCAGTTCAGGTGGTTTTCTTTAGTCTCATTTGATTCTCACAGCAACTCTACGGGCTAAAAAAGGTAAATTATCTTAGTATAAGATTTGGAGGAAAAAAATGTGACTTGATTCAATCTATATAACTCATAAATGGGGAGACTTAGCCTTAACTAGCTCTTCTGCTTAAAGTCAACCAAACTGGAAACATTTATAGCATGTGCAAGTAGTCTGAATGGTCATTAACATACAAAAGTACACTTATATTCCTGAACTCAAAAGTTAGAAAATTTGTTTTTTAAGCTATTGGGTTGAAAAAAATATACAGGTTCAGTTTTAGAGGGAAATTACTCATGAATATTCATACTCTTAGCAAAGTTTATACTAAACATAAAAAATAGAAAGTGGTGTATTTAACTTTAAATTCTTCATACCACATCAAATATTCTGCTTATTTTACTTTTATACTTTGAGCCAGAATTAACCTTATTGTATTGTCTTTAATGAAAAATATATGTAAGTTCCTAAACATTTAGAATTAGATCCCTTTACATAGCCTGTTACGCCATTCTTTGAGTAGCCTTTGCTTAACTCTTGTAGCTAGCTAGACCTGCTGAATTGGTTTAAGCCAAATGGACTGAAGTCACTTGAGACATGGTCATAACTAGGACTTTAAAACAGCATTGATTTTAAGAGTATATGAATATCCTAGAACATTTGAGTCAGTAATCAATGTATGATCATCTAGACATTTTGATTTAAGAAGAGGAACCACCATTCCTCAATAGATTATGTTTACATTTTCATAAAGCTGAATTCATAAAAGAAAATGCCACAGCAAGAGCGGGTGATTTGAAACAACACAATGACAGAGAAGATTGCTTCCAGATGGCAGAATAGGAAGACCCTAAGCTCACCTCCTTTCATGGGCATACCAAAATTACAGCCTTTTACAGAACAAGTATTGATGAGAAAGACCAAAATCTACTAGAAGAGATCTTCTGCAACTGAAGATAAAAAGAAGGAACCATGATGAGATGGGTGGGAGGGGCACAGTCACAAGTGTAGTCAAGACCCAGACCAAGTTGGCAGCCCACAAACAGGAGAATAATTACAGTGACAGCAGTTCTCCCACAGAAGCAAGCAGTCTGAGCTCTGTCTTGGGCTCTCCAGCCCAGGGGTCCTGCACCAGGAAGATGAGCCCCCAGAATGTTTGGCTCTGAAGACCAGCAGAGCTTACTTTCAGGAGACGCAGAGGGCTGTAGGAGACCCTACTCTTAAAGGGCACACACCAACACATGCTTTGGACCCAGGGCTGAAGCAGTAATTAATTTCAAAGGAGTCTGGATCAGACCCACTCATTGACCTTGGAGACACCTTTGGCCTCTCAGCCCACTGCCGTGGGATCCAGCCTCACTCAACAGCAAGCCAACACAAGCTTGAGGACATGCTGGACCCCACAGCCAGCTAGGGACTGGCCCCACCTACCTGTGGTCTGATATCAGCTCTGGGACGCTTGAGTGCTGAGACCCTAGGACATGGTTCTGCCTACCAGTGGGCTGTCACTAGCCCCAGGAATCCTGAATGCTGCAGCCAGCAGCCTCGTGACTCAGCCCTGCCAATTAGTGACAGGAGACAGCCGGACTGGGGGCCAGCCATGTCTTCCAGACCACCAACAGTAGTCAGTCGGCCACAGAAGAAGGACCCAAGTGGGGGAGCCCAAGAGCACATAGCTCTGGTGACCGGAGGGGATGTGCTGTTGGGCCGCATGAGATGTCTCCAATAAAAGGCCACCTTTCCAAAATCAGAAGACATAACCAACCTACCAGATAAGATACATAGAAATAAAAGCAGCAAATTAGGCAAAATGAGGC